TTTGGTGACGATCGGGATCAAACTTATCCCGCGGTGGTTTTCGCAATTGTTGCGGGATCACATAAAGTTAGACTAAACTGTCAGATCTGTCATAACGAAGTTACCAATAATCAGATCACAAGCACACGCATTAAACAAACATCACACGACATTGTCTTTTATTTCGGTCATAAGAAACACATACTATAATATAAGTTTGTTGTGTAGCGATCACCAAGACCTGGAATAGTGAACCACATCAGTGTTTTCTCTTCTCCCCATTGTGATTATGGACTACAATAGCGGATCACCTTTGTCCACTCCATTATCATTCTTTTCCGATTCGAGGATCGGTTATCTTTCTGGATGAACTCATCAAAAATCTGGAGAGCATAGAACAAAGTGGGATTCCTAGTACAACACACGCACATCCTTAGACATCGCTAATGACAGTTCGCGACCACCTAAGTGGTTATTCATCTGCCCGCGACTCAGAGACATGCTCCGTAGTCTACAGATGTGTTGGCTGTAGATTGAAAAGACCTTTTCATCCCCCTCTAACCCTATTCCAAAACAATCACAAATAAATCAGTTTAGAGTGATAGATCAAGTAGCACGTACCTGGTAATCAACCAACAGCTCAGGACCTTTATAGTGCCGAGATGCGACACGGACGTTGTATTCCTGATCCGGGTGATAAAATTCAGCCAACCCCCAATCGATCAAACGTAACTATGGATCAGGCAACCGATACAGTAGTGTTTTAGATTACGCAACATACCTGACGTTGGGAATGATTGATTAGAATGTTGTGCGGTTTGACATCTCGATGCATGATACCCATCGAGTGGCAACAGTCCAACGCGCGAAGCAGTTCAAACAAATAGTAGCGTATATCATGATCGGTCAGTTTGAAGTACAGTTCTTTGAAATCCGTATTGTCAATATATTCGAAAATCAGTGCCGGAGTTTGTGTCTAAAATGGGAGAGAAACCGAGATCAAGAGAGAGACCGCGTGGTGAATAAGCTTACCAACGGATCTTTGACGACACAATCTAATCGGATCACATTGGTTACTCCGCGCAGGGTTTCCAGGATTTTTATCTCGCGATTGATTTTGACTTTTTTCACCGGCTATCAACCAGCTAAACTGGATAACGAGGAAAGTAACGACTCACTTTCAACACTTTGATCACACACTTCTCGTTCGAGGTTATATCGATACCCTCGAACACCTCACTGTATTTTCCCCGACCCAATTTTCGGACAATCTGAAAATCCTCTTGATCACTGCAAATAGGATGCGGATTATGTTAGTTGAGTGTCTGGAGGACATACCTCCATTTGATCTCATGCGCCTCGTAGTCCCAGTACTCTCGAGGCCGATTGGTATTCACATCCGCATACACTCGAGCCCTGCTTATCACGGGCATGACTGAAAAGACAGAATATCGGGTACAGTCAACCAGACAAGGAAAGAGAGCAAAAGCAATACGCCCGTGAATCACAGGGCAATTCAAACAAAAATTACAAACCGTCGCTCATGGAATGAGTGAAACAAATCTTAGCCCCTGTTGAAGAAGCTATACTCACTGCTATCCACAGAAAGTGATAGGATGAAAAACCAACATCTGGAGGCTATAAGCAGGTCGGTGAACCGCTGGCAGTTTACCTAGGGGAGTTGGCCAAAAACTCAGGTTTACGAACTACACATGTACACGTTCCTGGTTTCGACAGTGGTCATCGGATCGACTGAGCGTATGATCCGATGAACTGGACACCGGCCTCAAATGGAATGAAACTTTTCGCCCCGAGGCCTTGAGGGTCAGGCTTTGGCTAGTCAAAGGCTCCGGTTGTGAATTCCCCCCAAAAATTAGCCTGCTTTGGTTTGGGTAACCTAGCAGTACCGCACCCATGAGCCGATTTATTTGTTACAGTGATAGTTGTAACGTGATTTGTTTGGTACAATCTGCAATCCGACGTGTGAAATATACTATTATTGCACACAACTGCGATGCAGTTTTTTATTACACACCCAAGTGTGATGAACAGCAGACGAGGAAAGTCCCATAGACACGAGGACCTGCTGTTCAGTGATGGAAACCGGTAACCTAAGCCCCGGGACTTGGAGTGACGAATTACATAAGGCCCCGATAGGTTAGGCGTGGTATTGAACCGGACGACAGCAGAGCTGCCTACCACCAGAGTCGAGTGGCGGAACTCTAACTTCGGACCACAGGGTACAAAGCACGCCGGTGACAGCGACTAAACCAATGCGCCACCAAGACCAACAAGAGCCAGCACTCAATCCTAATCATTATTATACTGCACGAAGCCTCGTATGTGCTGCTGCGCCACAAATTTATGGCGCTGGTCATGACCATTGTATAGCGCCATACAGTGAAGTGAACTTCAGTGATCACTGCCAAGTGGGGCTAATGAGAGAGAGAGCAAAAATTAGACGATCGGCAAAATGGCATCGGCTCAGCTAGTGCTCATAAATATGCCTTCATCGGTAGGTCCCGGGTTAGGGNCTCGGAGGAATGGGGTGATCATTTTTATTTTCTCAGTGCGTGCAGGTTCAGTTCAGTGTTAGTTTACACAACCATCAAATAATCACCACACAAGGGTGTATAATATGGCCCAGTTGGAAAATCCTTCAGGTGTTTCCGATCGTTGCAGCAAATCCCATGAGGTAGGTACAGTTTTATACAAACGAGCGCAAACCTAAGTTGCGAGAAGAGGAACGAATCTCAATTTGGTAGCTAGTCGTGAATTAGGTGAACTTGTGTATAACAAATTAGCGTCCTTCGAAGGTCAGCGACAGTACTCGAGGGCGAGATGAGTTTTCGCGTAGCCAGCTCTCTTCCTACAAAAAACCATGAGGGTTTGTTGATGGTACTGTGACGCTGCGCTCATATCTTGCACTAGGTAGAGTTGAGAATTCTTCTCTACCAGCTAAAGCTCTTCTGTCCTCGATGCCCATTCGAACTAGCCACATTAAACGTGCGTGTTTTGAGGCAGTAGGACGACAGACATGCTTAGCTCGCATCCTGGAGACGCGCATTTAAGAATCCAGCTCCATCATTCGATTCATGTCACCATCAAACCCATCTGCCAAGTTTTACATACGCCGCTCTGGGGAATCTGACGCTGCGTCTTCCGGTTTTGCTTCCGTGGATCTCGGTGAAAGAGCTGAAGCAGCGCTCCTAGATTTGATTCTAGTCGGCATTCGGTTATGCACATTGAAACTTAGAGATTCGAGCAAAGTAAGCGCTCATTGCTCCGAAAACGTAACTTGTTTTTTACCTCAGCGTACGCACTCGAATGCAGCCCAGATACAATCAAAGATACTTCCTACCAAAAGCTACACGACCTGTTGCATACAGCTAATCGGGCTGATTTCGTGATTTTGACAGGATATGAATGTAAGAGTAGGTTGGTTGACTTCGAATGAGGCGCATCCGAGATCCTTTCGGACTTGATTCCTGTCGCTTCGAAAACGGGGAACAGTTGCTGGCTCTACGTTCCGAGAACTAGTTTTATAGCTGATAACAGTGTACTTTCGTGCACCGGTTTTGGTTGCTGTCTGTTGGCTACCCACTTGGACAAAAGAGCAGAGGACTGGAATGTTGAGAGCAGAGTCAAAGAGAATTGATATAGACGGTGGCTGCCACTGTTTGCGACAGTTATTTAGTGACTCTAACCATAAGTTATGATAACGAGGTCCCCATTCAGGGAGCCTAACGGGACCTATGTGACCCAGTCTCCTGGTTAGGATCTTCATACCCTCATACCAGGTGTTAGTTTGACTGCCCTTTTTCCATCCGCGGCCTGCCTCGACAAANACAAACATTGCGCACCATGGCAACCCGTTTGATGACATGCGCAACACATGTCCCAACCACTGTAGTCTACGGAGGTGGAACACTTATTCCATTGAACGACCGCGAGTACCTGAAACTAAACGCCTAAACTCAGCATTGCTTGCCCGGTTTGCCCACCAGACTCGTGCAATGCGACAGACAGCGCTGTTCAAGCAGCGCCATCATGTCTACCACAGAACACCGATCGTTGCGCTCTTAGGCATTCGCGCGGCCTTCAACTTCATCGATAGGATGGAGTTGTTAGTTTAGAAACGGAGTATCCGAGAAGTGTGTCTATCCTCAAAGAGTTACATCGTTATAACTCAGATTGGGTTCTGGTCCATGAGCAGCTTTCACCATTATCAACTCCAGTGGAGTGCACTGAGGCTGTCCCGTATCCTTACATTGCCATAGCGGGTGATCTACAGGACTCATTGTTCAGTCTACCAAACGGCGGAGTGGAAATCCTCCTACTGGACAGAGTTCTTGACTTAAAATATGCCTTCGAAAGCATTTGTATCGCCGAAGTGGATGCTTCGGGTAGTGAATAGTCACCTTCCACTGCACCTCACGAAATGCTCCTATATGACTAAACGTCTCAGCCTCTGCTGAGGAAGCCCTACTCACTGCCTTCTCGTGGCGTAGGTGTTTTGCCACTTAAGTGAGAGGACGAAAAGCCAACATCCGAGGCTGTACCTGGTTCGATAAACCATTTGTAGTACAATTAAGAGTTGGCCAAAAACCCTGGTTCCAAACCAGCCAATGGGTGTAGGAACCACACACCTGGTTGCGTCAGTGGTCAACGACTGAATTGGTGTATTATGCTCCGACGCGGATTCTAGTTGTTCCGAAGTCTTGAAAGTCGGGATCATTGGCTTTGCATATTCACTTTGGCTATCGCTAGAGCGGCGTAATCAGAGGACAAATAACTGTAACTACTATTCTAATGCGTTTTCCCCACTGTCTACGAGTATACTGCCGAAAGTGGACCGTACCAATCATATGACGGGCCTCGAGAAGCTTTCCGTGA